ACTTATTTTAAAAAGTTCATAATTATTGTTTATTATAAAATTGCGAGTCAGTTAGGTTTAAAATTATATAGTGTTTGAATGTTTGAGGTGTCAAGATGGATGGATCTGAGTAAAATCCGTTAGTTTTCTCAGAGTTTGATTATTTCATATTTTTCATGTTGGGACCGTTTTTAGCCAACTTAACGGAATGGTTTTTAGAAGGCCGTACGGTTGTCTCTGGTGGCTTTCGTCCACCTCATTTGAACTTTACGGATAGTTGTAAATTCATAAGCAATTCTTAATATACCACATCTCCTTGTGTTTACATAGAGGAAATTAGTCTGTAATTTTTATGACCACACATATAGGTTATCCAGTATAAATAAGTACATCTGAGCCGTTGCCTACAAGTCTAGTGTCGGAACAAACTTTTGGTTTTACTCCAGTATATATATAGTCCTTTATTTCTAGTTTTTATGAACTCGTTCAATTATAACATAACTGTGTTTTAAAGTTATTATTCAAAGTCTCTTTTAAATAAAACAACTTTTTAAACTATTCAAAATTGAGAATGGAAATGGGGAATGCATGTGTCAAAGTGACATCAACCCGACCACAGAGCAGAAAACAGCCGAAGGCCACCAATGGGTCTTCAACACAGCGAGAAAATCCCGCACCCGGAGGCGTGGTTCAGCTGGCCCCTAAACAGACACCAAGTGATGGATACAATTGTGGCTTATATTGTTTAATTAATTTTTTAGAGCAAAAGATTAATTGATTGTTGGTTGCTTAACATCCAGTGGCAAACATTTCATGCATATTCAGGACGACAAAACTTTTCAGAAAAAGATTATGGGTGGGGGGGGGGGGGGGCGGATTTTGGACCCCCTTTTGTTAATAAGGACATACGGTTGGATCCCCTCCCTTTATCCTTGGTTGGGAACCCCCATTTAAAAAGACTGGATCCGCCACGTGCACTGTACACAGATTTAGTCCGCATTGTTTTCCGGGCAGAATAGACCACCACTGTTACTAATTTTTATAGTTGTAAATATTTACGCTAAATTTTGTTAATAAATATAGGAACAGTTACAATTGTGTGGTCATAGATTTCGTAAATTTGTTTTCTGAACCATATAGCAAGTGGCATGACATCATAATGGTGAATCGGGGAAATCACAGAAAGCTTATGGAAATGTTAGATTTTTTTTGATATATGACAATAGCGCAAAAAGTATCAAATATGTTTTAATAGAGAAAAAAAAATGACTGTAGCTGTAATAACTATATTTTTATTTGTTTTTAATTGTGTCGCTCTTTGATGACCATTTATGAAACCTGCATTTTCGTCTTTCATTCTTACGTACGTCTAGAAATTTACAGAACTCAAATTATATATCGGAATAAAAGGAGTTGTCGGTTTTATTTACGTCAATAATATAGCAAACAAACCAAAAACAAAAACAAAAACCAAGCGACATCCAGAGAGCAAAGTGGATTTTTCGGCTTGCAGTACAAACTAAGTATAAGTATAAAGAACAGTTATATTATAACTATACCACGTCAAAAGTTCTCTCGTTCATTTCATTCCATAGTAGAGTAAAATGACTAACTTTCATTTGACCTTTGAAGAGGCAGAATTAGTTGACACAAATGTTATGCCTTTTTGCATGGCTGATTGTATATATTTATGTTGAACATGTTAAATTCAAGGCGATCTTGTAGCGAACGCACAACCCTATACTGTGTTTGGTTTTTCTACGATATCTAGTTAAGAAAAAACTTTATTATCGGAGGGGTGAAACGAGGGAGAAAATAATATGTATTAGATACACATTAAGGGCGTTAGCCCGAATGAGTGCGTATTACTTACACCAAGATAAATTGAATATTGTCAATGCAGAATGACAAATTCAATAATTTAGGACAGGGACTTTCAATACTAACGGATTCCCTGTTAAGGAGGAGATCTTTTAACAATTTGACAATATTCTATTGAAATGCATGATAAATGCAGGGTATCAAATTTATTTATCGACATCTTTGTGTAAAAAAAGATACAATTTTGCTAGATAAATAGAAAACAATAACACATTTCCTTGCATAATCTTATCTAAAATTATTGAAAATTATCATAATTTATGGGTATTGTTTTAACATGATACACCAAAGCCGAATTTTGCATGTTTGCATTACACACTTGCACTGTTTGGATTAACGTATCAATTAGAAGGTAGGTTAGAAAATCACAAAAACAGAATTAAAGGACAAAACGCCATTATATGGTTTTCCGGATAATGTTTTTTTTTGGCAAATATTAAAAAAAAAATCTTAAACTTTTACATATACATAACATTTTAGGTAAACACCTAGAGTTACATATATACCAGCATACATTTTTGATAGGAAAAAAATGCTATCAAAGATACTTCAGAAATGCCTAGCTCCATGCCTAAGAAATATACATCTGTTTTATTGTTCACATTTATTTAACCTCCATTCAACAATGGGAAGGAACATTTGCCTCAGCTGTGAAATGAATTGATTTAAAACGACTTTTAACATATTTACTTCTGTCTTGTCAATATCTTAGCATAGAATATGATCAGAATATGGTCTGTGTATAAAACAAGTATACCGCTGTAATAAAAGCACTAGACAATTTATACATGTAAATATATGCTTCTTCCAACAGAATTTTGTTTTGTTTTTAGTTTTTAATTATTTTTTTGTCATTATCGTTTATTTTTTAACCACTAAATTTGCGGTTTTGTGATATGTTCGTGCAGTTTTAACAATGTCGTCAATAGTGTTCAGAAAGAAGCTACTAGTATTATAAAATGTGTCAGAACCTTAAATTACACATACATGAACGGAGCTATGATACCATGACAGGTGTACATATGATGTAATTGTGAAATAGCCATTGTAATTGCCAAGTTTTTGATAGTTTAAGGATCATTTTTGATTAGTGGCACGTGCCATCGAATTCAATCTTTATTGACAGAAAATATTAAATAACGAATACATTTATTACTATTATAGGAAGAAAAAGGCGAAGAAGAATTATTTGCTATAGTGCAACTTGAATAAACAAATAAATACATAATTATTTTATATTAAATAAAATTGTTATTAAAATGAAAGAAAGGATTAACGCATTTACAAGGATATATACTAGATGCTGAACTTAAATTAGGTTGTATTGTTTTAACGAAAACAAACTTCTATGAGGATCTGGAGGGGGTCCTTTATTTCTGTATTCTTTAATTTTTTATGCCGATTTTCTCTATTCTTTAAACTTTTTGTCTATTATTATCAATTCTTTATATTCAAGCACCTTATTATTCTCTATTCTTTATTTTTTTTTATCCATTTTCTCTATTCTTTATATTTATTGCCACTCATTCTCTATTCTGTAACCCCCTCCCCGCCCCCTCCCATCAACATCTTCTTCTTTCCGATGGTATGTTATTTATAGTTTTATTGTCTCGTCACGGTCTAAGTGCAGTTTTCAGAATATTAACTGCACTCGGAGACATGGTTCCCTGATGCGGCCTTGGTGACTACGCATCACTACGAAATAAAAGCAAAAAAAAAAAAAAAAGAAGACGGTTGTCCAAATATAAAAAGAATAACACGCACGGGGAATGATTACTAAATGCCACGAAGTAATTATTAAGTTTTAGAGGAAAGTATCGAAAGATAACGAAATTAACGATATTAATTATCTGACATAAAACATATTTGTATTTACGTTTATCGTTCCCGATGAAGTTAAATCCAGAAACGTGCTTCAGACGCATGAAATTTATAAGGTGTTTTCACTCTTTTGATAATGTTATGTTTAAAATTTGCAATTACTTCTTTTCAAAGAATAAGTAGATAAATACATAAATTAACATCAGAAAATAAAAAATAAAATAAAATCATAAACAGTTATAGGCGAATAAGTTATTTCCTCAACAAAACAAAATCACTAATCTCTTAAAAAAAGACCAACAGAAATAAAACGTCAACCAATGATTTTATGTTTAATTATTAAAAATATACGTTTTTCATTCTAGCATTTATATTGTAATTTTTTTATAATTAAAATGTATCATCCACATGAAGGGGCGTAACTCCTAATATCATTCTGACACACTAAACGGATCTTAACCCGATCTGAAAATTTTGAACATTACTTTTTATGTTTGGTCTGAATTCGTCTAAAACCGTCTTAACATATCTTGTTTAACAGCTAGAGCCTTCTGTCTTGTTTATCTTGACATGAATGAACGGACTGAACACGACATATCTGAACAGCGTCTGAAAGTCTTAAAAAGTCTGAACGTTTTTCCCTAGCGGTAAATTCAGTTGATTCAGACTTGATCAGACCAAAATGACCGTTTCAGACTGAAATCTTGCTACTAGTGCTGGTTACAGCTTTAACCTGTTACTCATACAAGCTGGCTACTTATTCTCACCCTTAAGCGTTTTTATATTATTTATAGAAACCAAAGTGAAGAATTCCTTTAAACGAAATGTCCAAACAATTTAATTTCCATTTTATCTTATTTCTATGCAATCAATTTTTTTTCTCATGACAATATGTGATTTTAAATTTATTTTTTAAAAACAGTAATTAGTAACGGCATCTAATAATTTAACTTGAATATTATTTTTGTAAATATGTAAGATAAATCAGAGTCATACATCAATTTAAAAAAGCATCATACGACACGAAATAAACAACTTTAAGATCACTACACTGTTGGTGGAACATCGTATCAAATTTGAACCTATTAGACAGGTTATTCTCACAAAACCATGCAAGAACAAAGGTTATAAAGAAATGAAAATAAAAATAAACTACATGAAAAATTCGAGAAAAACGACCAAGAACCATAATTATTTTCATGCAACATACAGCACAAACAAGACTAATATGTAAGTTTACCTTGAAAGTATTGTCGGCAGACTGTGGTTACACTTGTACATATCGATCAAAACGTAATAACTTATCTTTTATATTGTAGAATGAGCAAGAAGTGTACGCACACAATGGTTTGTTGAAACCCGGCAGCTTGACATCTATCATATTTTCTCCACAGTCTTATAATTAAAATCTTTTATGCATTAACTCGTGTTCTTAATTATTAGGCATACATAATTATAAATAAAAAGGATAACTAAAATGATAAAAATATTTTTACAGTGCACCAGCCCACACCAACCAACAACACTTTACCACTCTGAAAAATTAGACAAACAAAACATCGAACAACACGTTGACCAGATACCCTGACTTTGTAAAGGCACATCAGATGGCGAGGGGTAAACCCGTATTTATGTCAGCACAAAACTCTCTTTTGTGTATCTAGTTCACATGTTGTAAATGTAAAAGACAAAAAAAACCTGCACAGTCCAGGTATCAACAATATGACAACTCACTTGAACAAGGAAACTACAGGTATTACGAGCCCATTCCTAAATAAAGCAAATGCAAGGTCATATTGTTTGCTTTAATTCGATGAAAGAAAAGAAAATAAAAGGTGCAAAACATAATTATATGGTGAATATTTTGAGAAAGTTTCAATGAAAGGTAATAGAGGGAAAGCAATGGCAAATGAGGAAATGCAGACCAAAAAAAAAGCATACCCGGTAAACCAATGTAATAGTCCATAATATGCTAATGTAATGCCCAAGAATAATTAGGATAAAAAATGATATCATATGATGAAAATTCTGAAGCAAAAAAAAACTGATAAATTCTAATCAGGGGTTTTATAGAAGTTGCGTATGTATGAAATGGGTTGTCTCAGGCAAAGCAATAGCAAAGTCCATGATTTGCTTAGGGAACAACTCAAGATAAAACAAATGAGACAAACAAATAAATGATGCACAATGGAATTTTATAGTTAAGGTTCTGAGATATTTTTTATAAAAAAATGGTTTGTGGTTAAGATGGATAAGCGACTAAATATTGTGTGCGGATAATTATGACAAGTCCCTGTCAAACCAAAGTAAACTCGGATAAAAGGTCATTTGTGATGTCACTATGACGTCATACAATGTAAAAGTTAAAGTGCTTAACATAAAACGGCCATGCAGTCCACGCATAGATATGAGTGAAGGCCTTACCCCAAAAATATATACCCAAACACATTAACATCTTTGTAAAATACATCTTGTGGCAAAATATCGGTTTGGGTAAATCTTATGCTCATATCTAAATATGAATGACAATGTCAAAATGAGGTTTGTTTGGCAGTTTTTTTCCAGTTTGCACTTTTAACGCTAGAAGTTTGAAGCCCTAATGCTAATTTGTAAGACAAAATTAAAAAAATTATAATTGATAACACTTATGAACATCTTAATCGTGTTGTAAATCCATGAAGATCATAAAAGCTGGATCATTTAATTTCACAAACAGATATATTGAGAGACAATCCAAAACTTTTCTGAGTGGTCTAATTACTATATCCTCCTGATCTAGAGATTAAAGAACCACAGAAACAGCTTCTTCCGCCTCATTTTTAGACACACACATTGAATTTGATTTCAGTGGTCATCTAGTACCAGAGTCTATGACAACCGTGGCTCAGTATGTGTGCATCCGGCTTTCGGGTTTTTGGCTTTGGGTGTTCCAGCGATGCAAGTTTGTCCAAAGAAGCACTTCGGACGCATGAAAATTTTATAGCGTTATTTAAGAAATATTTAAATTCTTTCATGCCATGCTCTATGCTTATTTTAACATGGGTAGGCATTATATTTGTCAATATCTTTAAACCGAGCGTAAGCGAGGTGTTAAATGTTGACAATGTAATGCCTATCAAGAATTATTTCGACTCTAATAGGAAAATTTTGAACTTTTGAACTTCGAAGCGGACCTATAATACACGTTCGAAAGGCAGCCATTTTAATTTGACGAAACCAAAACGTTATAGAAAATCAACCGTTTCACGATATAAAATTAACAGAAACATGTAAACTTACTTATTGAATGATATTATTTAGTTTCATAGCAAGCAACACCAACACAAATGTCCATTTTGATCAAAATACAACTGCATAGAAACAATTCCATTGTAACCTGAATCACGTGCAGCCCATGTTATATTGGGATTAGAACATGGCTTTGTTTCAAGAGCGAAAGAAGAACGTCATATTAGAATTTCATTGTATGTACCCTCTTATTCTATTTTACTTAATTTGTACTTTATTGGGAAAATGTGTATATGTCATAGTATTTTACTTACTGTACTAGATCATATCGGAATAAGATGTGTACCTTCCCCATTTAAAGAAATCTTATATTTTTGTTTCAATTGGTGACAATATAACAATGTCGTGCTCTATTAGAAAGATACATGTGACTAATGAATTGTAAAACATGATATTTCCCGGTAATCATAAATAAAATCAATTGGTAAAAAAGCAAACAAATTAGACGATACCGAAGGGGCAATTCAAAACAATAATTCGACGAATGATTAGCCATTAGAAAGATGACGACAGACAAAGCCATGGCCATTAATAGAAAGATGACGATAACACCATGGCCATTTGAAAGATGCCGACGGACAAAACAATAATTCGTCGAATGAGACAAAACCATGGCCGTTAGACAGATGACGACGGACAAAACAATAATTCGACGAATGAGACAAAACCATGGCCATTAGAAAGATGACACTCGACAAAACAATAATTCGACGAATGAGACAAAACAATGGGCATTAGACAGATGAGGACCGACAAAAAAATATTTGACGGATGATAGACAAAACCATGGCCGTTAGAAAGATGACAACAGACAAAACAATAATTCCACGAATGAGACAAAACCATGGCCGTTAGAAAGATGACGACCGACAAGGAAATAATTCGACGAATGAGACAAAACCATGGCCGTTAGAAAGATGACAACAGACAAAACAATAATTCGACGAATGAGACAAAACCATGGCCATTAGACTGATGACAACCGACAAAAAAATAATTGACGGATGATAGACAAAACCATGGCCGTTAGAAAGATGACAACAGACAAAACAATAATTCGACGAATGAGACAAAACCATGGCCATTAGAAAGATGACACTCGACAAGAAAACAATTCGACGGATGATAGACATAACCATGGCCGTTAGAAAGATGACAACAGACAAAACAATAATTCGACGAATGAGACAAAACCATGGCTGTTATAAAGATGACGACCGACAAGAAAACAATTCGACGGATGATAGACATAACCATGGCCGTTAGAAAGATGACGACCGACAAAAAAAAAAATAAATTCGACGAATGAGACAAAACCATGGCCGATAGAAAGATGACACTCGACAAAACGATAATTCGACGAATGAGACAAAACCATGGCCATTAGAAAGATGACAGACAACACAACAATTCGACGGATGATAGACATAACCATGGCCGTTAGAAAGATGACGACAGACAAAACAATAATTCGTCGAATGAGACAAAACCATGGCCATTAGAAAGATGACGATCGACAAAACAATAATTCGACGAATGAGACAAAACCATGGCCATTAGAAAGATGACCACAGATAAAACAATAATTTGATGGATGATAGACATAACAATGGGCATAAGAAAGATACCGACAGGAAAAAACAATAATTCGACGAATGAGACAAAACCATGGCCATTAGAAAGATGACGATCGACAAAACAATAATTCGACGAATGAGACAAAACCATGGCCATTAGAAAGATGACCACAGATAAAACAATAATTTGACGGATGATAGACATAACAATGGGCATAAGAAAGATACCGACAGGATAAAACAATAATTCGACGAATGAGACAAAACCATGGCCATTAGAAAGATGACAACAGACAACACAACAATTCGACGCATGATAGACATAACCATGGCCGTTAGAAAGATGACAACAAACACAACAATAATTCGACAAATGAGACAAAACCATGGCCATTAGAAAGATGACGACCGACAAATAAAATAATTCGATGAATGAGACAAAACCATGGCCATTAGAAAGATGACCACAGATAAAACAATAATTTGACGGATGATAGACATAACAATGGGCATAAGAAAGATACCGACAGGAAAAAACAATAATTCGACGAATGAGACAAAACCATGGCCATTAGAAAGATGACGATCGACATAACAATAATTCGACGAATGAGACAAAACCATGGCCATTAGAAAGATGACCACAGATAAAACAATAATTTGACGGATGATAGACATAACAATGGGCATAAGAAAGATACCGACAGGAAAAAACAATAATTCGACGAATGAGACAAAACCATGGCCATTAGAAAGATGACAACAGACAACACAACAATTCGACGCATGATAGACATAACCATGGCCGTTAGAAAGATGACGACAAACACAACAATAATTCGACGAATGAGACATAACCATGGCCATTAGAAAGATGACGACCGACAAATAAAATAATTCGATGAATGAGACAAAACCTTGACCGTTATAAAGATGACGACCGACAAATAAAACAATTCGACGAATGAGACAAAATAATGACCGTTAGAAAGATGCCGACAGACAAAACAACAATTCGACGGATGATAGACATAACCATGGCCGCTAGAAAGATGACACTCGACAAAACAATAATTCGACGAATGATAGACAAAAGCATGAACGTTACAAAAATGCCGACACACAAAACAATATTTGGACGAATTAAAGACAAAACCATGGCCATATTAGAAAGATGCCAACAGACAAATCAACGGTTCACAAAATACACTACTTGGAAAAACTAAGTATTAAAGCATCGCAAACCCCACCCCACAAAAACAAATGATTTTAACAACTCGCTCAGACAAATATCGCTTTTTATGCAGCCATGAAAAGTTGGCTATAGAGCGAGCCTCCATGTATCAATGATACATCTTTGTGCTTCAAAATGATTGTATCTATATGGGCTGGTCAAGTTTTATCTATTAAATTGTAGTAAAGATTATGGAAACAGAAGGATGCGGTACATTAAAGAAGGTGACTGAATAATGTTCTAATTTATTTCCTGACATGTTACGTATGTCAGCTTAGCATGCAAAGGCATATCATTCGGGTAATTATAGTATGTTTACTCTAT